TAGACAGACCTGCAGAGATAATAAGATGCACACAAAAAAGACAGAAAAACCAAGCAACAATATACAACAACAACAACAAACCACTAACAAAGAACAAAACAAAACACAACAAGAAAGAAAAGCTTGTAGTTAGTTCAAGGATCATTTGTTGGCCTTTAAGAGTGTTTTCCAGTCCAGTCTGTTGTGGCACCATGCCCTGACCCCAAAGTCCACCATCTGCATTCCCTAGGGACCTCGCTGCTCCATTCCCTTGCTGTTCTGCTGCACCCCCCACCCCCTCCATTGCTTTGCCTCAGTGTGGAAGGATCAGATAGGGCACAATTCCCACACTGTGTCTCCGGTGCTGTCCCCCGCAGGGCCATGGGTCAGTGAGGGGCATCATGTCTCATAGTGGGGCTGGTCATCCCTCAAGGTACTTTTCATGGTACTTCTCATGTCTCTAATATGTTTTCAACTAACTAGGTGATTAGGATTGTGAATGAGAAATGATATAACATCTCTCTTAAAACCAAAGAGGAGAATGGGTCAAATAAAGCCAAATAAAATAATCAGGGCTCAAAGGCAGGTCCAGTGGTGTTTTAGTTACAGATACACAACAGTCAAGAGTCTTCCAGTCCCTAGGAATTATCTCAATTCAAACTGAAGTCAAGTTGAAAACAGTCCTCCTCATTCTCCTAAAGTCTTGTTTTTGCAGCCCACTTCTGGTCTCAATTTCTGTATGCACTGCCTTCGAGTTGATTCTGACTCATAGCGACCCTATGAGACAGGGTAGATCTGCCCGTCTGGGTTAGTGAGGTGTAACTCTAGGAGAATAGGAATCCTTATCGTCCTCCCTCCTGTGAAGCGGCTGGTGGTTTTGAGCTGCTGATCTTTGGGTTCGCTGTCCAACATGTAACCGCTAAGCGACCAAGACCCCTTTAATTTCTGTTCGTATTGGACTACTGGATAACAAGTTAACAGAAACTCACTCTGACTCACTGCATTAGAAAAATGTTTCTTTTAGAAAGGTATCAAGTAGCTCATAAAATTGATGAGATTTGAAAGAATAAGCTCTGAAAATGACAGGCTCCCAAAGGATCGGGATCTAGATGTCAAATGCCGGCGAGCATTCATTTCATGTTATTGGAATAGCAAGTTTCATCCAGCCTTGCATTACTCAGATCAAGATTCCAAACTCCAAAAAGGGACTGAAGCCTTGCCTACAGCATAGCTCTGGAAAGGAAATCATACTTGTACAGAAAAGAAGAGAAAAGGCTACCAATCAGCCAAACACAACAATTTCCACCATTGAAAACTCAAACTCATTTGGCTTCAAATTCAAGTTGTACCAAACCAGATTATAAAAAAGAAAGCATTGAAGTAATTGGAAAGACAGTAGGAATAAAACCCAAGACCACAAACTGGGAGACTGTTGAGAAACCGGCCTATTCTCATCCTCGTCTTCTTCTCCATATTTTTCTACATGTCTGCCTGGTAGATTTTTCTCTCTTTGAAGATGGAAGTAGCTTGGACTGAAATAACTTACTCAGGCCCAGGTCCAAATTTCTGATAGAATCCAGAGCTGTAAAATGATCTTTAAAAAAACAAAATGATCTTTAAAAGAAGAACAAGAAGAAGAATCTCATCTTGAGCCACCTTTCCCCCCATTCTCATCAGTTATGGCTGGGGGGAAAGGGTGGGGCCATGGGATAGAATGATGGCTTGTGGAACCCCTCCTACCAGGCAAGCAAAGGTTTCAAAGAAGGAGCCAGATGCCACCCACAATAGGTGACCTCTTTAAGTGGTTCTGGCAATAATTATATTTTCTCCCTGGGGAACAAATGCACTTCCTTTTTTTTTTTAATCATTTTATTAGGGGCTGATACGACTCATCACAATCCATACATACATCAATTGTGTAAAGCACATTTATACATTCATTGCCCTCCTCATTCTCAAAACATTTGCTCTCCACTTAAGCCCCCAGCATCAGGTCCTCATTTTTCCCCCTCCCTCCCCCTTCCCCCTCCCTCATGAGCCCTTGATAATTTATAAATTGGTATTTTGTCATATCTTGCCCTGTCCGATGTCTCCCTTCACCCACTTTTATCCTGAAAGGTAGGTCAGTTATCCAGATATTACAACCTCAGGGAGCTGAAGCTGATAAGGTTGCACAAGCAGTCACAGCAATCCCTGAACTAGGGCCATGGCTTCCTGAT